GGGCACGTTCTGCATGGAGCACTGTGTGTTATACGCAAACAATGAATCATGGAACACTACATCAAAAACTAATGATGTAATGTATGGTGATTAACAACAATAAAAAATTTTTTAAAAAAAGAAGGCTCTGCAGATTCCATCAGTTGATGAGGGTTTACTATAAAGATACACAGAGAAGTAAGTCAGAACAAGAACACGTTTCATAGTAAGGTGTCATAAAAACTTGGAACGTCATTCAAGTTACAACTTGCTGGGGTAACTTAGACTTCATGGTAAACTGGAAAGTCATCATTCTTTGGGTTGTATTAGTAGCTTCATGAGCCTCCTCACACAAAAATACCATCACTGGTTTTCTGAAAATAACTCTAGCTCGAGAGATTTGATCATAATGTTTTCTAAATAAAAATGTCCACTGCTTTAAAAAAAAAAAAAGTCCACTGCTTCCTACTGCTGTGTCCTGTCATTACGGTGAGTCAGCTAATCCATGTTTTTACTGCTTACTACCTTCTCTGTTTCTCTGTTCTTCTGCCTACCCTGTTGTCGTTTAATTCTTCCTAGATGTGTCTCATTCAAAGTCTGCAAGAGAGGGGATCTGATAGAATTAGCCAGTTATTATCAGCATGGAGCAGTCCTGTTAGTGACTATTTCATAGGACACTGGACAACCCAGAGCAAGTTGCCTTTGGGTCATGTACCAATTTCTGATCCTTTGGATTGTGGCCAGAAAAACAAGTTACTATTAACTGCCTTAGCAGACATTCTGAGTACCATGCCCAGTATACTGAGTGAATAATGGGAAGGGTAATTCAGAGTATAAGATATTGGTAAATATTTAGAGTTAGTATCTTAGTTGGAAAAACTATAAATGTTTTTAAAATTTAAGGGTACATGTAAAAGCAAAACTGATAAGCATTAAACTTTTTGTTCAATTTTAGAGTATTTATCCTGAGCATTTAAGTCTACCAAGAATCATTCCACCTGATTTTTATTTTCTTTTTGGGGCATTACTCCCATAACTATTCATGGGTATACATAGTGGCGGCAGTTTGACAGTCGCATGGAGTTTTATCCAACTATCATCCTGTTAATAGTGTGTTTAATAATAATTGGCCAAGGGACTTAGAATTTTTTTTTTTTTTTTTTTAAGATTTTATTTATTTGACAGAGAGAGACGCAGAGGGAGTGGGAGAGGGAGAAGCAGGCTTCCCGCTGAGCAGGGAGCCCGATGTGGGGCTTGATCCCAGGATCCTGGGATCATGACCTGAGCCGAAGGCAGACGGTTAACAGCTGAGCCACCCAGGTGCCCTGTGACTCTAGAATCCCTAAATCCTGCCTTCATCCAGCCACCCTCCTTCCTGTATGTAGTCTCCAATGGAGGGAAATAGTCTGATTTACCAGAAACCAGTTTGATGAATAATATTTTGTCAAATGTCAATTCACTAGATTCACTAATAATGATTTTAGCAGCTTTAACTAGAACATTAACCAAAAATATTAACTCAACTTGATTTTTTAACCTAAGAAATGAGCAGATGAATCATAAAATTGCTAAAATGTTCCTATATGAAGAAAAATCCTCAAAAAATGCTAATTTTCCATCTAAAATTTTATTGACTTATATGTAATGGCATTGTTTCAGCTGTTTCTGAATTCTTTTGGGTGCTTTTGAATGTCATTTTTAAATTTTTCAGTCTTTTTTTTTTCCCCCCAAGTAATCTCTACACCCAGCATGGGGCTCAAACTCATGACCCTGTGATCAAGAGTCCCGTGCTGTTCTGATGGAGCCATCAAGGCACCCCTACATTTTTCAGTCTTTATTTAAAGTGGTTTTAGGATTCATTTGCACATCTTCAAGAGGCATATTAGCCTTTGTCTGCATTTTTAGCAGTTAAATATAAATTTAAATTTAAAAACATCAAAAAGAAATCAGAATTAGCTGGGAAGTCTCATCATACTTGAAATTCTGAATTTGATTTGTAACAATAAGTAATTAAAATATGCCGACTTTTATTTTTCCAGAAAGAGCACAAAAGCATAAAACCATTTAAAACAACAGAGAAAAGGAAGGACACCTGGCCATGATTAGATCTTTACATTTTATATACCATAACCATAAAAAAGAAATTGTGAAAAGAAGATCAAAAAATAACTTAGGTTACAGGCCTTGATGAGACTAAAGTATGAATGCTGAAATGGTTGGCAGAACAGAAAATTACATAAAGAAACGTTTAGGGCGCCTGACTGGCTCAGTCAGTAGAGCACAACTATTGTTCTTGGGGTTGTAGGTTTGAGCTCCATGTTGGGTGTAGAGATTACTTAAAAATAAAATTTAAAAAGAAAAAAAAGAGAAACAATTAATGAAATATATTTGTAAGTATATTTTGTGGTTAATAGTCATAAAAGAGCATTCATGTTAAAGTTGTGAAAAAACATTTTTGGTAAATTGGTAAAATAGATTATTCAGCAAATTCACTTTTGAGAAATGAGTCATTTGATGGTTTTTATAGCAAACTGACCAGGAATCCCGAGGAAGATACATGTACAGAAGTTAGTGTAAGAACTAGGATACCACTTGTTTTTTGTTTTTAAGATTTTGTTTATTTACTGGAGAGGGAGAAAGAGAGAGTGTGTATAAGTGGGAGGAAGAGCAGAGAGAGAAGAAGACTCCCTGCTGAGCAAGGAGCCCAACTCAGGACTGGATCCCAGGACCCTGAGATCATGACCTGAGCAAAAGTCAGACACTCAACCAACTGAGCTACCCAGGCACACCTAGGATACCCCTTGTTTTTAACTGGGCCTTTACTCAGGATCCACATGCAGAGCCCTCAAGTATTAGTTATAACATGTGGCTTAAAACCACAAGGGTCCTTTCCATCTCCCAAATCTCAGGATTTTTTCAACTTTGAGTTGATAGCATAGTATAGGAAGCAGGAAAAATGAGAGCCCTAAGCTCACCAGGAGAAGAAAAGCTATATAGCTAGGATTTCTTATAAGTGACAGGGGGTGTGAACTTTCTTACCAATTTTGGAGCATGGATGATTGGAAAAGAAAACTCTAGATAGAGAGCGAGCAATACGAAGCTGTGAGAGACAACAGAATTTAGGCCAGTTTACTGACTTGGCTGCATGGATACTCACTCATCCTAGTCCCAACTACCTTTCAGTCAAGGTCCTAGAATCTGGCCATTCAGATTAGCCACTCCTCCTAGTGGTGTGTGAGAGAGAGCTTGAGCATCGGAGAGGAAACTCTAGGGTGTTTTTGGTTTTGTTCCACAGTACTCACCCATCCTTAGCCCATACTATACTGTGTAAAGACCTGAGGAAAAGTGATGGGTAGACCATGAGAGCTGTGGAAACCATTCTATTTCTAAGTATTCCTTTAACTCTAAATTTATATTGTTTTAATACAAAATTGCTTTCTCTTTTCTTTATTTATGCCTGTGTATTACTCCAACTGAATGTTGTGATTTATTTGAACACCACTAGAGGAGTTACTATGGTCCTCCTTCACCCCCCCCCACCTTTTATTGCACTTAATATCCCTTTTATATTTCTTACTTTGTTACAGAGACAAGAAAGGTTTGCTGATAGGTCACTATTAGAAATGGAAAAAAGGGTAAGTATCCATTTTATTAATTAATCATTTTCCCCCTTTATTGTTTTACATAAGCAATAGTAGGGTTTTTTTTTCTTTTAGTTTTATTTTTATGAATGGTAGTTTTTGTTAGTGTAGATTAATACTGATTTAATCATGAATGTTTTCTAGCTTAGCTTCTTTATACAGTTCTGTGGGATCTCTCTAGATGTGAAATTACCTTACCTCTCTAGATATTAAGACTTAATTTACCATGTTACTCTTTTAACAGATTAAAAAAATCTTTGCCTTGATTCTGAAATGTACACATTGTGGTAGTGAATCTGATATTTTTGAAATGCCATTTATCTCTTTGGTTTTCTGTGGTGGTATACTTAAAACATTTTGATCATGTATACATTTAGTTTAATTCTTTGGAAAATTTAAATCCATTCTTAAAGTTTGTAAAGATTCTAAGAACATTAAATTCTCAAATTTCTTTTAAAGTTAATGATACTTTAATTTTGAATTTAAATAATTAACATTTTTAATTAGTATATATATATATTTTTAAGATTTTTATTTATTTATTGAGAGAGAGAGAGAGAAAATGATAGCATGAGAGGGAGGAGGGTCAGAGGGAGAAGCAGACTCCCTGCTGAGCAGGGAGCCCGATGCAGGACTCGATCCTGGGACTCCAGGATCATGACCTGAGCTGAAGGCAGTCGCTTAACCAACTGAGCCACCCAGGCGCCCCTAAATAGTATATTTTAAACAAAAATTTGATTACTATAGAAGCCTTTTGCCCTTTTATGTCTTTCTATAATTTTTTATTTGGCAATGATATATTCACTTGTATTTCTCCATTTATTATTGTTATTGCTCAGAGGTCTGGCAGTGGCCATAGGAAGAACTCTGTAAGTTTAGTCTGAGCAGTTGAGAATGTATCAATGATCAAAAATTAAAGGAAAAGAGTGTCTGTTAGTCCAAGTGAGCAGTGGCTAGACCTGCAAGGTCTTAGCTGAAGGAGAAAGCACATCCTGGGTAGCTAGGTCAAAGAATAAATAATCAGGAGCAGTTAATAAAACATTTTCTTCCATCCCATTACAAAAATAGCCAATTTACCTTTTTTACGAAAAAAAAAAGAGAGAGTGTCCTTTTTTATCTAGGCTTGTGCACACATAGTACACATGTTCATACTCTGACATTCTCACCTGACCTCCTTTGTCTGCCTATCAAATGCAAATAAATTACAAAGTAGCTAATTTACTTTCAATTTAACAGATATTAGTAATCATAGTATTGATAATAACTGCTAACATTTATTCAGTACTATAATGTACCAGGCAGGCACTGGGCTAAGCATTTTACATGTATTTTCTCTTAACCATATTTTCTGATGTTGGTAAGTTTGTCAAACAGAAGAAATTGCCTACAACTTTATAGATGCTGCTTTGGTGACAAGACAGTTTGGTAGAGTGTTCTTGTCTTGCTTTATCAGAAAGTAGTTAAAATCTTGAAGGTACCTAACAAAATTGAGGATGATGAGGGCAGTAGGAAATACACTGTTTATGAGATTTCACCAAGTTATGAGGATCAAATATGACGCTATATATCCTAGTGTTTTGGGAAGTGCAGTGGTTTTTATGAATTAGTCATGGCTGTATTATTAACTAGGAGAAAGTTCTGTTCATAGAAGATAACATTTTTGTCTATATAATAATGTTTAAACAAGCTATTAATAGAATAACACGGTACTTAAAAGACTATGAGTAGGATTCCATCTACTTTTTACATCACATAATCTAAAAACATTAACATTTACAATAAATGTACTGCTTTACTAAATATCAACATTAATTATTAATCTGGGAAAGAATGTCTTGGAAATTCATAGTGATTAAACTAAATTTAAATGGTTTGTATCTGAAAGGTGACCGGCAAGAGTCAGTATCTTCTGGGCGGTATGACCTAACAACCAAAGTTTTACAGCACATTAATTACCGCTGCTTGCTTTTTGCGTAACACCTTAGAATGCTGATTATTTGTAAGGGAGAATAAACTGTACACTGCAGTAATGTATGTTGCCTTTGCCTGTCACTCTTCGAAAGGAGGTACTTTAAAATACGTGCTGCAGTTGCTTCTTCGTTAGATTCACTGCATTAATGCTGCACACAGTATCAACCTAAATACAAAGCTGTAAAGTCAGTTGTATAAATGTTGGCTAGCAAACATTATAGGTGGAGGAGATGAACTTCTCTTCGATCCTTTTGAAATTTAGGCATGTTTGCTGCTTGCGTTTCTGCTTCTGTCACTGTAGAATAATTGCATCTATGTGTGGTTTTTTTTTTTCTATATAATCCTCAGTCTTGAATATTGGTTTATTCCTCAGTTTTATGTGAACTAAAAAAATAGTTTGAACATGTTATGTAGCATCTTACTAGAAAGTCAAAGCTTTGAAGAAAGAGCTTATAGAAATTAATAAAAATCATAATCTTCATATTTACTTCTCAAAATTTAGAAAGCTCTTTACACATCACTGGCATCACATCTTTTTCCACACTGCTCCTGATTTGATTTTTGACTCTAAAGTATCACTCTCTCACAGTTTAGAAGAAAATTAAGAATATAATAATTACGTGATTAATATTGGTACCTTAAATTGATCTAGGAACGAAGAGCTCTAGAAAGAAGAATATCTGAAATGGAAGAAGAGCTCAAAGTAAGTAAACCATGCTTCTACTTATGAGAGATAGTGCTGTTAATCAACTCAAGCGTTACAGTACTCTTACAGATAACTATGTTTATGTTAATTGTTCTCAATACTGATTATGTAATTTGTGAGTTATCTATATCTTGTGCTTCTCTTTCTTCCTAAATCCAGGTTTTATGTGAGCTAGGAGAACATTTACAATTCAAATCATTTTGTTGATTAGTTTTTTTGGCTTTTTTGATGTTCAGGTATAGAAAAAATCAGACAATAATAACCATAAGATTTGGGATTTATTATTTATTCTTCACATTTCACATACTCTGTTTCTTGGAGAGTAAATGGTGGAGGGGGTAGCAATACAAAAATATTTTCCTTTGAAAATAAAGGACATTACGGTAGTGGACGAGCCGAGCTATGTTTTATTGAACTCTGAATTACTTGTAGAAGTATCTATTTGTTTTGAATGTTGGAAGGAACCCTCTTTGCTAGGGGAAAAAAATAGCATAGTTAATGGATTACCTTTTATTGTATTATCTTGCATAAAATATGTTTATCACATTATGAATTAATGAACTGATACATAGGAAAATGTGCCCATAAAATTAGAATTTCAAGATTTAATTATTACTGAATTTGGTTCCTTATTAAAACATTTTTGAATGGCTTTGGAGACAAAGTTTTTGGATTTTGTTATGTATTTTGTTTGATATGGAATTTTAGGACTACACTATTTACCTTTGCAAATTTCATGGAATGAATATCCTTATAGTCAAGACTCTTAATTTTTTTCTTCTTATATTCGTTATCTGTGATTCTTTGTGTTTTTATTGTACTCTTTTCGATTTTCTTATTTTTTTATATTTTATTTCTTTATGTTCTAATTCCTGCAGAACCTGCACCAAATAAAGCAAATTCAAACTCTGAGAGAGTTAAATGAGCGACTGCTGACTGAGAATAGGGCCTTGACAAGAGTGGTAGCCAAGCGCTCAGGGTTCTGTAGGCACCTGCAGTCTGTGAACCTATAATTTATAGTTTCATCATTTCTTCTTGGTAGAGCCAGGCAGGTGTTTTTGTATTAGTAAGCGTGTCTTAAGCTCACTTGTACAAATTAATGCCATTGTGTCTGAAGCTTATCATATAACTGTTAATTATGCATGGCTTCTCAGAATGTTAGAAAGTGTCACTAATTGTATATTCTGGCTGATAAACTACAATAAATTTAGGAAATGATTTAGGGATTTAAAGACTTGTCTGCACCTTTGCAAAGCTTGTGCACATTTTTGGCTCTACAAATATTTTAGGGATTAAATATTTAAATACAATTTTAAAATTCTTTGCTAGAAAGAAAATGGAACATAAGCAGTATAAAATATTTTACATATAATTAATATGTTGAAGCTGAAGATTAAGCATGCTTTATCTATTTTTCAAAATAATACCATTTTCAATCAGAACCACTTTAGTTAATACAGTTCTTTATAGTACTATAAGTAATATAGTACTTTAGTAAATAGTTCTTTATTACAGAGGTATCCTAATACATAAACTTAAGATTACTGTATTTTATATCCATACATTGTGAACACAAGAATTGATTGGTTCCACATAAAGTTAAACTCTTCATAAAGCTTTTGCTTTATGTAATTTTGCCAAGTAGAAGTTTTACTTTTATCTAATTTTACAACCTAGTACATTTTGATAGCTGAGAAACGATATTGGAAAGATATTTTAAGTATCTTGGAAAGCATGTTTTAACATCCAAAATATAAGCTCTCCCACTTCCTAGCAAACAAATCTGGCAGAGCACATCTGATTTAATTCATTCTTGGAAAATGCAGTTTACTGATAACATTTCTACCCCCTCCTTCAGTTTGTCTGTAAAACAAAAAACAGATTTGCTTTGAGGATGTGAGGGTGTGTTTTTCTGTTTGCTCCAAATACTGGTGATTTTTTCAGTGCTTAGATATTTTCATAAACACAGACTGACTACTTTGGCTTATAAATTATTTTATACTGTTCTAATAATAGTAATAATTATTATAATTTAATGAGCCACCTATCTTGGACTACATGCTTAAACTTGGTACTACAGATGAATCCTTTAAGGAATTTTAATAATTTAGAACAAGTCTAACTTCCTCAAAACTTTGCTAAATAGGCTGGTTTCCTTGTGGAGTAATAGTAAGTACTATGGTTTGAGGTCTGATGTAAATAAAGTAAAAGGCCTCGGTTTAGGTGCTGACAGGAAGTCTTAAAGGAACTCCCTTTGAGAGCCCATCCTAACAAAAACAGGCTTCATTTTTTTGGCTGCTCTAATATGGTGTGCTTGTGAGTCATAAATAGCAAGTGATTTAGTACATTCCAGTTGATAACTTTGGGAGAATAAACTTTTAATTCCATCGTTTATTAAACTAATTAGCTTCACAAATCAAGTTTTTTCTTTCTTTCATATACGTTTTAGCCACTAGAAATTTATATAACTGACAAAGCTTGTTCATGTGTCTTGTGGTGAAAACATAAAATTTATTAAGAGTAACATTGTATCTTCTTATTAAAGTAAAACTTTTTTCTTTTATTTTTCCCCTCACAGATGTTACCAGACCTAAAAGCAGACAACCAGAGGCTAAAGGATGAAAATGGGGCCTTGATTAGAGTTATAAGCAAACTTTCCAAATAAAAAGCAGCAAATAATGGAATTGCACATATTAGCAACCCAGTGGACCATAACTGACAGTCACTGGAAGCCTGGGAAGAATCCTTGGAGACTGTCATTTTTGGATATCCTGCCAAATGCCCTCTTATCTAGGAATTTTGTTTTGTTTAATTTTCTGGTTTTGTTTTTTTTTTTCTTGTATCAAGACCATTGTTTCATGTTAATGCAGCTGCTGAGAAGACTTTTTTTTTAATGACTGAGAAAACTTGTTTACAGCTCCAGCATATAAGGAAAGTGTTCAAGGCCAGATATGCCTCAGATACTTAACCAGTAAGCCTTAGTTGTACATAAATACTTTTGTGTCAAAAAAACTTTCAGCTCTCACAGAAGACAGTTATTCAACATTTTTTGATGTGCCACAGTTTCCAGTTTTTCGATATTTAATTTTTTGCTTTACATCTAAGTTTGGGTTTGTATTTTTTTCCTTCTAACTCTTCATGTGGCAGACTCTTCTATGTTTTCACAGCTTTCTCATTTACAGAAAAGAACACTTGTTCTTCTGATATCATTGTTATGTATTAGGCTAATGCTGTGTTGTCTTCCACCTGGAACTGAATTGCTTGGTGGAACATTTGCTTTCACTGTTTGTGCAATATGCATTTATTTCTTATATGAATGCTTTAAAGTCAATTGAGATTAGGTTCTTTTAAGTCCTATTTTCTGCCTTCATTGGTCACTTTTTTGTTTTTGTTTTTTTTTTTATTATTGTAGTATAAGATGTTAGATTTTGTAATCTTCACGTTCATTTTAGCAGGTACTGAGTGATGCTGTATATATAAATAAATGTATTGTTTTGATTTTTAGACCACCACATGGTATGCTTGACTATTTCCTTATTTCAAATGTCTGTTAATGCAAAGTAGGCTACTCCATAATAGTGTTAAAACAAAATTTGCTAACAATGTGATATAAAGACTTTAAAAGTAACACATTATATGGAGCCCTATCTTTACAAAAGTTTTCTACTGTAAAGTGCTTTTACTTTTATTTCCAGTTTTCATTTGATAGTATTCAGCCACAATTAAAGTTGCATAAGATAATTGCTTCACATTTCACATACCTATATTTATCTGAGTGCTGTCTAAAACTGTTGTGCTAGCCAAAGTAATGCTATGAAATCATTTGCAGACTTAACCCGTGAGTTAATGTAAAATGCACTGTTATTGCCATGTGAAGAGGCATTGACTTTGATACCACCATCATGTTCAGACCATTTTATACATTTCAGTGGCCTTTTTAAAAAAAGAAAAGGAAAAAAAAAAGCAAAATCAAGTACATAGTGAAGATGGCTTTTATTTGGACAAATAGCTTTTATATTTTCATCAAACCATGCAAAAAAATACTACATATTTCTGGCACATAACTGTCTCCTTAACCACTGAACAGTTCAGCCATTTGAATAAATTGTACATCATAAAGCTTATAGTAGCTAATTGTATTATTGATTGTATTGTATACTATATTAAATGTGAATTTGTACCCCTTCATTTTAAAAGGTCATTGTGTTCTACTGCCTATTTTAGATTACTTTGGGGCTGGGAAAGGGTGTTTTGGTAAGCAGGATTTTAAGTCCTCTCTCTCTTGATTGGTTTTATGAAGATATAAGGTTATGCTCTTACTACCAAGCTCAGGATTCTTGATTTTTAAAGGTACAAGGATAGTTATGGGAATTTTATTTTTGGTTATATTTGAACTGTATGAATGGTGGGTCTGAATATAGAGAATTTCCATGGTCTTATGTGGACGTAAAATATACAGATAATTGATCAGTTTGAGTGACCGCAACACGTTCTGGTTGCACAACAGTTAGGCATGCTAAGGATTATATTTGTGAAGTTTGGATGCCTGTGAAGAATGATTAAATACATGTTTCTAATATTTTAGTGTTTTGTATTTAGGTTATTTATTCTTTGTATCTAAAACTGAACAGCTACTGTGCTATTATATTGGTTTTATTGGTAGTATTGAGCAGACCTTGTTTCTGCATGAAACTAGTTGCAAAACCCACTATTTTGGAAATAAAAATGTATTTTGACATATACAAATAAAATGAATAAAACTATTTTAAATGTGTGACCTTTTACTGAAGACATTTAAATTTTGTTCTGAGATATTTAAATTCTGCATGGGTATTTTTTCACTAATTGCTTTACTTGGATTCCAATTTGAATAATTTCTGAAATTGTAATATTGTGATAATTTGCACAACATTGTACATGCACATCTGTAAATGCAATCTTAATTGCCATATTTATGCAATCTGTGTACCAATTTGGACAAATGTTTATATATTTTACATAAAGCTGTCTGTATGCAGAATCTGAGAACTAGTTTTTTTATGATAATAAGTGGGTAAAAAATAATAACAGTGAGTCTCAAGATAGTAGCTTTGTAGCACAAGATTTCATTTACATAAACATTTTGTGGTTTCTAAATTAAACCTGTGCTTTTTTCTTAGCTGCAAACATGGGTTTGGGAATACATACAAAGATAATATTCCATTGAAGTGTAAAATATTAGATCATTCTTCAACCTAGGTTTGTCCAAAGTTCAACCCCCCCATCTACTTACACATCTGTAACTATATAACTCTCATAGGAGGCACTTTCAGTTTGGGAACTTTGGTAGAGGACTTGTAGTAAGCCTATGTTTAAATACAACAAGAATTGAATTCTAGTTCCAGTACTTTACCCTGTGCAAGCTCACAGAACAAAAGATATTACTGTTGTTTGTCCTACATAAAATAAGTTCACATGCCAATACTTCAAAGCCAAATGAAAAGCAGCTGTCAAGCTGTTTTTGTTGTGTTGAGACTATTCATATAAAAAGTAGATACTCACCAAACCATTAGGCTACTTTGCTCTTTTGCTTAAAGGTTTATTATCACTTAGTCTTCCCTGGCGAATCTGAAACAGTCACGAGTCTGAATGTCCACATTCACTGAGTCTGTTGTCGTAAGAAGCAGATAATCCAGAAGGCCAAATTCTCCCTAGACTAGGACCATGTATTTCCCATAGGACATAATAGCCCTGTAGTTTGTTCTTCACTTTGTCATGATAAGCAGAATACAGAACAGACCCCATTAACAATTATTAACTATCCATCAGTGAAAACCTTTGGCTGCAAAGATGAAGGCTGACTGATGAGCAATCTTTTCTCTGATGTCCATGTTGTATACTGTATGTGAGTGATCTCTGTGTGTGAGTGTCCATGTGCATGTACAACAGGTGTACAGTCCAAAAAGGATTGGGTATAGAATGAAATTGCTTCTCCTATTTATCACATATCTCTAACTAAATACATTTCTTGACTTTCATTTTGGAAAGGTTCTCTGGGGTTAAGTGCTCTGTAAACAACAGATTGCTCTTTCTCTGAGGTAAGTGACACACAGTGTCATATTTCTGTTCCTTGCCTACAAAATGACCAGATGACAAAGTAATAAATTTTAAAACGTAGGAATCAGAAGTTTAAGATTCTATAATAAGGTAATATAAATAATTCTCTAATTACCATAACTTCAAATTTTATCACAAGTGTTTTAAAGTTTATTTTAACTAAGCTTTTTTGAGCCAGGCTGTCACAACTTGTCACTACTTGAATGCCAATAAATACATAGGTTACAAAAATTCACTAGATTTTCATTTTAAAAGGCTAATGAAAAGGGGGAAAAGTTTAAGAATTATAAATATTAGTAGATTTTGTCTTGAGTAATATACAGTTAATAGGGCCTGTACTTTGTGTTTTTATGTCTGGGAGACTGGTAGTAGAAAAGAAATTACCTTCTCTCCCCTTCATCACAGTCTGTTTTTCTTACAGGTCTGATATGATACAAATCCACTTCAGTAGGATATCTCATTTGATCTGTACAACAGGCTGGGTAAATAAAGTCTGTCTCCATTTTATAGGTGAGAAATCTGAGATTATTAACTGATTTAACATTCCAAAACTAACAAAGCAGAGCTCTTACCCAAAGTTAGTTGGGGTTGTCATTGTTTTCCCATCTCTTAATCCAGGACTTTTTCTACTATTATCAAACTACTATTAGTTAGTTTGATGGTTTATTTGCATGAAATTGCATAAGTTACCTATGAGCCTATTTTATATGTCTAGGCTTAAAATAACGATAGCATTTCTTGATTTTATTTATTTTTTGCATTCTTTTCTAATTCTACATCCTCACCCCCACACTCAACTAAGTTTCTCCTCTCCTTAAAACTTATTACTAAACCATTTTGCCCTATAATGGGATTTTTTTTTTAGATGAATGCTTTAATGCTCAAGCAGCTAGTTGATTCCCTGATGCAAATTCCAACTGTATCCGGTAGATCAAGTATTTAAAGATATTTTCACATACCCACATGCAAAAGAACTTATGCATTTTTTTTAAAAGAGTTTTATTGGGTGATAGACATTGGGGAGGTATGTGCTACGGTGAGCGCTCTCAATTGTGTAAGACTGTTGAATCACAGACATGTACCTCTGAAACAAATAATACATTATATGTAAAAAAAAAGAAAGCAGGAAGGGAAGAATGAAGGGGGGGAAATCAGAGGGGGAGATGAACCATGAGAGACTATGGACTCTGAGAAACAAACAGGGTTCTAGAGGGGAGGCGGGTAGGAGGATGGGTTAGCTTGGTGATGGGTATTAAAGAGGGAACGTACTGCATGGAGCACTGGGTGTTATATGCAAACAATGAATCATGGAACACTACATCAAAAACTAATGATGTATGGTGATTAACAAAATTTTTTTTAAGATTTTTTAATTTATTTGACAGACACAGCGAGAAAGGGAACACAAGCAGGGGGAGCAGGAGAGGGAGAAGCAGGCTCCCCGCCGATCAGGGAGCCCAATGCGGGGCTCGATCCCAGGACCCTGGGATCATGACCTGAGCCGAAGGCAGACGCCTAACAACTGAGCCACCCAGTTGCCCCAACTTCTGCATTCTTAAAAATTAGACATGTTTAGTTGGTGATTGGAGCTTACTTCCCAAGAACTTTTTTATTCCCAAGTAAGATAAGCAACATTAATAGTGCTGTTGTTTTAGCAACAGATTTTTCTCCCCAATGAAAATTTGTGGAATGTCAATATGTTAAAAATTGTATTTATGTTAACTCAGATATGACCTCACCCCAAAAGAAAGTACTCAAAAATCAAAATAGGCCTAAGACAGCATAACAACAGCATGATTTTCTCACTTGTTACTTATTCTATGTTTTTAAACACTTGACAAGAAAAGACTTTTGGATTCAGTCAGATCTAGATGTAAATCTTAGTTTCACCACTTTATGATTGTGTGACATTGGTCAAATTACTTAACCATTTGGGCTCAATTTCTTTGGGTAAATGACATATCTGTATAAAGTGCCTTGAATACTTCCTAGAGTTTAGTGGATAGATGCTCAGAATTGCAATTATTACTACTTTGAAGAAATTACATTAATTTGTGACTTTCTAAAAGTACTAATTTACTTTGGAATGTAATTTATTATATCCAAAGAAGCTTGTAGCATTTTTTTTTTTAAGATCTATCCATTTATTTTAGAGAGTGGGGGAGTGGCAGAGAGAGGGAGAGAGAATCTTAAGCAGACTCCCCGCTGAGCACAGAGCCCCACGCAGGACTCGATCTCATGACCCTGAGATCTGACCCAAAGAAGCTTGTAGTATTTAAAAATTTTAATAGTTTCTCCTTAGACTATATTAAAACAAAATTTTGGAACAATTTACCCAGTTACCATAAACACCTAATTTTTACCCTAGGATCAGTAAGGGAGAAAGATACATAAGAGGTGGATTTTGAGGACTTCCTTCAATCACTGAAAGAAGGAAAAGGCACACCTCTATAACCATGCCACATCTGTGCCAACAGATTCCATGGACACTGGCTCTAGTGGTGTGAATCTAACCCATTTATGGATCCCAGTTGCTGTTAACAGAGGAGAGATGGGGAAAGTGGCAGAGAATTTATATATGTGACATAAAATTTAGTTCCCATAGAAGAGGCAGGTGGTAAGTATGGGCTAGTAATTGTTTTAATACTTGTAATAATTGCTACTCAATATTTCTTGTTTTCATTAAGATTTATAGTTGTTGGAATGACAGGATCATCACTAATTTTGGATGATTTTAAAGTTTACATGGTGCTTCTCGTAAAATATCCTGCCACCCTCTTGGTTGTTTATCAGCCTGCAGATCAGACTAATCTTGTTACATAATGATGTTCCGCATAAGAGCTTTATTACCTTATCTGTTCTTTCGTCTGAAATTTATAGTCCTGCCTCTCATTCTTACTCCATACTAGACTGCACATCTGTCTAGGACTTGCTTTACTGTAACCAGCAGTAGAAAAACCAGAGGGAAGGCAGCTAAATTTTACTCTTCTCTGTGTACCACACCCTATATATCTTGGTGTTGTAATTAAAAAAAAATTTTTTTTAAGCTGTTTCTTTTACTGTACTGTGAACCCCTTGAAAGAACGGTCATTTTCATTTTTGTTCTCAGCACTTAGCCTAGTGCCTTGCACATGGTAGGTGTTCGCTGAATTTTTAAAAAAGGAATGAGTTAACCCAAATAATTAAATTCTGATATGTACACTTTGTGGAAGAAGAAATCTTAGTTGGCTTCTAGATTTAAGTTTTTTAAGCTACTGAATATAAACATTCCAATTCCTGCAAACTTAGTTTCAGTCATTCAACAAGTTCTTGTTAGCACTTACCCGCCAGACATTGCCCTATGTGGTGGTACACACACTCAGAAGCAAAGCAAGCAACAATAAAATCCTTGCCTTGTGGAGGTTACATTCAAATAGTGGGAAGATTGGAAATAGGCAAAATACATTATGGTAGAAGATAAGCTCTATGGCAAAAACAGAGCAGGATAAGAGATTTCAGGGATGAGCGGGGGGCGGGGCGGGGGGAGCTGGTTAGAGAAGGCCTTACTGAGAAGATAACATTTGAGTGGCACTCGGCTGGCTCAGTCAGTGGAATATGTGATTCTCGGTCTCAGGGTTGTAAGTTCCAGCCCCATGTTGGTTGTAGCGATTACTTAAAAAAAAAATAAAATCTTACACAACAACAAAAAAATAACATTTGAGCCAAAACTGGAAAAAGGAGAGGGGAAAAATACCACAGGTATCTGGGAGAAGGGCATTTTCAGAGGGAGCAAGGAAAGCAAAGTCCCTGAGATGCAGATGTTCTTGAGTGTCTGACATCCAGGCTAATGTTGCAGCCACGTGAGCAGGAAGAGTAGGAGAGATCAGAGAGGCAACCAAGAGCTAGATTAGGGACTTCATTTAGAAATGAATTGGCCACATACTGTGCACTAGCCTTGCCCCTGAGTGATAGACTTGCTTCTTCAGCAACCTTAGTACTTTTATCCATGCCCTTTTGCCAACAGTAACTTGTAGCTCTTCATAATAAAAGCCTTGTATACT